TGCCCGGAAGGCACCTTTTGCAAGGGATAATGAAGGGTCTCACTGATTTTCTAGACTGCGATGTACTTAAATAAAGTTTTTGGTGTTGCCTTTGATCCAGTGAAACCTAGAGCTGCCCTCCACTCTATGGAGAAAGTGGGATTTGAGATCAGCCTTGAGTGACAGACGGCTCTGTCAACAGCAAAGAGCATACAAAGGCTTTGGCCACAGAGGAACCTGGGTCCGAGTCATGGCTCTGTCATCTACTACATGTGATTTTCTGCACACTACTTCTCTACTTTAAAGCCTCAATTTACTCGTCAGTGAAAGGGTTAAAACAATAGTACCTACCTAATAGAGTTATCATAGCTGATCAAAGAATGAATAACAATAAAATACTCAATACCATGCTTAGCACAGTGTATGTGCTCAATGCAGTTTAGTCGTTTATATAAGGAAGGAGGAAGGGATGGACATACGGGTGAGAACAACAATCTAGATGCTGGTGAGGATGAGGAAGGAGCCCAGTGCCCCTCTAGGTGGGCTGGTATGGAGTGCAGGGCTTAGACAAGCCAAGAGAAATGTGGATGGCGCAGAGGGTGTGATTCATTAATGAAGAACTTTAAAAGGGAAGTTAGCCAGATACAGAAAGTCTTGGTGGGTTTTTGAACGTGTCATCTTGCAAAATAGTGCAACGGAAATTTAGGATTTCCTTTTAGAAACTGCAAAATTCCTTTCAGACCATACTGATGTATTTTATCCTTTCCAAATTTTGTGGAGTAAGAATGGTTTCACCCATTTTAAAGATGATGTTGTGGTCCAGGGAGATAAAGATTGACCCATGGTCACTTTTTAAGTGTACCTCACTATCAGGTCTGGGTTAAGTCTGTGTGTGTGAGGAAAATGCAAGGGAAATGAGCCAGCCTGTGAAAAATACTTTCCAAAGGGAAGGCATTTGATAAATACTAACTCCCCTTGCTCCTGGCTGAGTTCTAGAGACTGGGATTCTACTCAATTCTCATTAACAAACCTCAGAGTTGCCCACCTCTGGGTACCTCTTTGTATATGTGCTGCTGAAGTGAGCACCTCTGGGTACCTCTTTGGTCCTTCTGTGCCTATATCCCTCCATGGATAATGTCCTTGGGGCTTGACAACTTTCTGGACTGAGGATCTTTCTTTGAACCCAGACTGTGGCTGTGACCGCTCCTTCTTTCAGACTTTTAGATGGAACTGCTGGCCTCTGCTGACCTACCTGTCTACATGTCACCATGCCCAAGCCTCTCACTGGGACACCCTGTCCAATAGCCCCTTGGTGTGACTTCCTCACTGGCAACTCCACCACTGCCCACCAAGTACCTGCGTCCGGTGTCAGTGAGCCAGATCCCTAGGTCCTGAGCTCTGTCAGTCTGATCTGTCCCTCTCTTTCCAAGCTGCTTTTCCAGCAGTGGAGCTCATTTAAAATAGAGATGCTTGGGCTTCATTCTAGACCAACTGAGTCAGAAGCCCCATGGAATCAGAAGCTTCCATGGTGTGGCCCAGGAATCTATATATTTAAAAATGTCTTCCCTGGTTAATCTTGATAGAGCTCTTTCACAGGCTGGCTTTTGGAAAACACTGATACAGGTTCTTTGACTACATGGCCTCTAAGGCCTGTTAGAGTGCATCTGTGGTTTGCTCACAGTTAGGTCAGTATTATGAATGAAATTCAGGTCAGTATACGTCCTTTCCTAGGGGTTTCTAAAACTCCTTCTTCAAGAGAAAAAAATCATTTAATCTCCCCTCCATATCTCCTCTGGAGGAACCCGTCTTATCGATCTCTACGTAGGTACTACAAGTCCTGCAGGATAACTTGGAAGCGCCCTTGCTTCTGCAGCCGGCTTAACATTTCCAATTTGTTCTCATTCTAAGGCACCTCTGAGGCAGGTTCCTTGCCACGTTTGAAGCCTGACCTTGCTTACTGGCTCCTTGCCGTCACTGCCTCAACCTAGTTTCAAATTTCCTCTTAGCAATGACAATCTGCTCACATTCAAAGCCGTCTTTATCAAAGCCATTTCTTTGAACTCTTCTGAAGAATAATCTGGGAACATCTAAGATTTAATGTCTTTTAAAATACTGTGGAAAATACAAAAGAGAGTTCTGTCTATATTGAATCCTCCACATTCATTAGTTACCAGGTTGGGTGTTACCGAGGTACGGAAACTTTTGTGGATGCACTAAGGCTTTCTAAAAATTGGTTTTTATAAACTGAGGACTTTGAAAACTGTTAAACATCTTCCCATAGAGGTTCTTTAGCACTTTGTGTATTTGTATGTCATTTTCTTTCACTTTTACGTATGCTTCAGGTGCTGGGTATCGATGTTTATGGTTTTATTCCTTTCAAGCAACTGTATCTGTGTACCGTTGGGGTACTGTGGTAATAAAGAATGCTTTTGTTAGGGACCAAGTCAGCATGCTCTCTGAACAAGTTAGGTTTTATAAGTTCTAATTTCTATAAGCTCCTAATGTTTTCCTAGCCAAGAATATCCTGGCATGAAGTATGAGCTCATCAGTCTGTGAGGAACGTGAAGGTTAAGGTTAGGAAGGTCGTGGAGGTAGAATGAGAGGCCAGCCCTCAGACAGGAACAGACAAGAGGACTTGGAGAGAGCCACAGTTTCTCATCATATCCCTGACCGTGGTTATTTTGGTTAGCTTGCCACGTCAGTACCTTTTTATCATCGTGAATCTCTCTCCCCACCTCGTTATTTTCAGCTGCGATATTCCTGTTCCCCAGATGTTGAGCCCAGGCTGGATCTGGAGGCGACTAAAGGAGCTTCACTTCCAGGCGTGCTGATGTCAGCCACAACAGACAGCCCCCTCGAGTAGATGTTTAGGACGGGGTACTGTGATGGGACACAGGAGGGGATTTGGTTATCTGGCTCATTCTCATGCTCTTACCAATGAATCCCCAAACCAGGGAACATGTAGCTCGTGTAACTCTAAAGTAACACACAGGTGTTTTCATGCATCAGTAGAGTCTTTTAAAGGCCACAGGAGAAAGAGAGCATTTCCCCCTTGTTTCCAGATAGGAAGATCTGGGCTTGAGGGTGGTCAGGATATAATTTTGAAGTAGGTTTACTGCAGTGGACTTGCAGTCAATTCACAAAGGATGCTGATGGGATGCAGGAAGAGTCAGAGGTTGAGAGAGGCTAAGCGATTGGAGAGCTGGGGTTATGCTTTCCCTGAGAAATACAGCTCCTATTGTCATTAGAGAACATTCAGTCCAAGTTCTAGATACAGTTTATATGTCCTCCCTGCTTTTTAATTTGCCAAATAAATTCTGAAATTTAATTACTTAATTATTTGGTCTCAAAAAAGGTTACTCTTATAACCATAGACCATAATAGTATGTTAATTAAAGTGAAATTAATTCTAAAATATTAGAATCATCATAATTCTGAGACAACAAAAGTAAAATAGGATAAGATGTCCCCCAAAATGTCCAATACCTGTGTTTTACTTCATGTGAAAGAAAATGAATTTAAAATTTGACATTAGCTAGATTTTTGGTTTAATATGGAGATAGAGGCATGCTAGAGGTACATTATCTGTCCTCCCCCAACATTCCATGAAAGTCCCTTTGAAAATGTACAAGTACGTTAAAAAAAATTGTACAGCAGTGCCTGGGTGACTCAGTCAGTTAAGCATCTACCTTCAGCTCAGGTCATCATCTTGGGGTCCTGGGATCAAGCCCTGCATCAGGCTCCCTGTTCAGCAGGGAGTCTGCTTCTCCCTCTCCCTCTGCCCCTCCACCCCACTTGTCTTCTCTCTCTCTCAAAGAAATAAATAAAATCTTTAAACAAATTAAAAAATTATATATTCCTTATGACTAGGGTACAGGAAAACAATATGCAGGATTCTGGGAGGATTTTCACAAACCACCACGTCAGTGGTGTTGGATTGAGAACCACAGCTGTGGACTCTATTTGCTCCAACCTCTGCTTTGGAAAAGTGCACATCAGCTGGCGGAAGATAGCAAAAAGCTCTCTGTTACCCTACAGCCTGTTCCTAGCTCAGGCATTCCAACCAAAAATTCAGGCAACCACATTTCTTTCTGCCCAAGGACAGTATTTTTTAGGCGGCCTGATCAGGGCTCTCCCCCTCTTTTCTTCCTTTCCTCTTCGTTCTTGATTAGAGACTAGAGGTCTTGGTAGAAACTGTGCGAGATGTGTCAGCACAGTGACATGTTAGGGTGTGATCGGTGGTGGTGCACTCTGCTGGGATCGTAAATACGACAGACTGAGGCAGATGAAAGAGCTGGAAGCATGACAGTGTGTATGAAGGCAGGAGGGGGCAGGCAGGGGCTCTATGACTTATTTGTCTTTGGAAAAGGGCTTATTATAAACTGTGCCTAAGTACTGAACATAGTCAAAGACCCTGGCAGTGAGACAAGAAGGTTCATTAACCAGCGAGGATTTATTATCTACTCTATATGCCAGATGCTGTTTTGGTGGTAGAGAAATACCAGTGAGAAAGAGAAACTAGGGTCTGGTTTTACTAGGGAAGCTTGGGGAGTAAGTGGAGGGAGAAGGACAAGAATAAGCAAACTTGGGGTGCCTGGGTGGCTCAGTGGGTTAAGCCTCTGCCTTCAGCTCAGGTCATGATCTCAGGGTCCTGGGATCGAACCCCACATTGGGCTCTTTGCTCAGCGGGGAGCCTGATCCCCCCCCGCTGCCTGCCTCTCTGCCTACTTGTGATCTCTCTCTCTGTCAAATAGATAAATAAAATTAAAAAAAAAAAAAAAGAATAAGCAAACTACTGAAAAGTGTCATTTTTGATAATCATCAGTGCTGTGAACAAAATAAGATGGGGTGGTGAGGCAGAATGCATGGGACTCCTCAGACCAATCCACTGTGACCCCAACACAGACTGGGCCCAGTGCCGCAGGATTTGCCTGGAAGAAACAAGAAGAGGTGGGGTAGGAGAAACAGAGTTTGATCCTTACCACACTCTGTTATGCAGATATTATTATCTTGTTTTACAGTTAAAAAAATAACCTGAGACAATATATGAGCAAAGAACAATTCTTATGAGAAGACATACAAGCAGTTGATAGACATTTGGAACTTGTTAAAATTCACAGGTAATGAAATAAACACACTAATAATAAAATGAAATTTAAAATCACAATTACATACCATTTTCAATCAATCAAATTTGCAAAGATTAAAAAAGGTCAAATTATTGCTAGTGATAGTGGCATAAATTTGACCCTGTTCATTTGCTGCTGAGAAAATAGTTAATTGGTATATCTTCTAAGTAAAACAATCCTACCTGTAGGACTAAGTCCCAAGGAAATTACCAGAAAAGCAAATAAAGATTAATATACTAGATGTTAATTTCAGTAGTATTTCTTACAATTACATTTCCCCATTTCCCTTGGCAAGGTGTGGCCACAGAAGCAAGCTCTGGCCTGACATGTGAGCAAAAATGATGTATGCCGCTTTCAGATTATGTTCCTAAAAGAAAGCGGTTCGCCCTCTATGTCCTCTTTCCTCCTTTCCAAAGGCTAGTGTCTGGATATAGCAGTGGGTGAACTGGTTTTGACCATGAGGACAAGAACAAAACTCTAAGTAATAACAGAACAATAAGATCGAAGGAGCCTTGGTCCCAGGATGACCTTGTGGAGTACAGCTTCTCCCTGCTGCACCTATCAGATGGAATTTTAACTGGAGATAGAACCTTCTGTCTTGTCTTCAGCCATCATGATTTGGCCTCCTTTGCAACAGCTGAACTAATATACTAACCCATACAGACAGCAATTGTGTAAAATATATAAAAATTTTCATTCCTTATTTTTATGGTTATCTAATACACATACTGATGGTCTTAATGATAAAACTAAGTAGCAAATCTCCACAGAAGATTTGTATAAAAACTGAATGCTTAACATCATCTCTGTGGGTTTGGCAATCAGATGTTTGTGTTTCACAAAAATACTTAGGTATAACTTGAAAAAAAAAAAAAAAAGAAAAGCAGGATCAGGGGCCCCTGGGTGGCTCAGTTGGTTAAGCATCTACCTTCAGCTCAGGTCATGATCCCAGGGTTCTGAGATCAAGTCCTGCATGGGGCTCCCTGTTCAACGGGGAATTTGCTTCTCTCTCTCCCCACTTGTGCTATTGTTCTCATTTTCTCTCTCTTAAATAAATAAATTAATTTAAACAATTGGGACCAAACGCAATTATAAAAAAGGTGAAAGCTTTGATTAGTTCTTTAAGGTTTTAACTTGATCCCAAACCTGTGAAGTGTTAGTGGCAATTGTTTTGTTTTCCACTCCCGTGCATTGTTTCCTGAATGGGATATTGTGCGCCATGTTATCGAGTTGGCTTTGTCAGAGAATTTTCTGTAGAGATTGATCAATTGTCCTAGTTTGGGGAGAAGGCAGAGCTTCTTGCACCATGAGGGGCTCTATAAAAGTCAGTTGGTGGGAAAGAGAAATAGGAATGAGAGTCATGCCCTTCTCTTGGGGCAAATTTATTTCCTTCTCTTCTATAGCATCATTTGCTAGAACCTGGATAAGCCATCAGCACGGACTCCTGGGGGGCCTGTTCAACTGCAGTGGGATGTGTTTTTGCTCTAGCAAAGGAAAACTTTGGTAGGGTGGAAGCAAGAGCTGAGATCGGAGGGTGGGGACACAGACACCTGAGTGGAAACTGAATTATGAGGGGGAGAGGGTGCATAATAGAAGGTCAAGTCCACATCCAAGCTTGGGAGAGGCAATTCTGTTCTAGTTTCACACAGGCTTTGAAATCCAGAGGAAGGGGATGTGGCTTTTAAACTCTAGGGATGTGATGATGGAACAATGAAGAATAGCAATGTTTTTTAAGAAAAAACCTCTTGAAATATTAGGAAGAAGAGCAAGGATAAAACCCAGCCTTCAGAGGCATCAGCTGGCCAGACAGAGACTAAGAAGCAAGCATCGGTCCGTGACTGAAGCAGAGGGCAAGATTGCTAGCTGGCTTTGGGTGCCCTGTGAGAAGAGAGACCCCAGGCATTCAAGAGGCCTAGACAGAGGAGATGAGAACAGGTAAGGGATTCTCACATTCACTGAGCATTTAATATTCCATATACTTTGTTTAATTTTTGAAGCAAACCTGGGAGTACTCTTCGCAGAAGGTTTAATGATTTGATCCAAGATCATGAATTTAAGTGGAGGATGTAGTTCTGACTCTCTAAAATCCTTATGATATCTTTCCTACCATTTTGGGGGCTTTTCAGGGATTGCTGCCCATTATACTTCCAGTAGGCGAGCGTTAGAGAAGTCTATGACCCAACCTTGAGGGCTTGCAGGATGAGAATGATTGATGTGTTCTGCATAGGCCTCTTGTTAGTTCACAGAGAGAGGAGGAAGCCTGGGGGTAGATAGGACGCTGCCTAATTAGGAGTCTGAAGGTTGTCCTGTCCCATATTCCCAGGAACTTAGCATGCTACGTTCTGGGTTAATTCCTGGCAGCCTTGAGCTTTCTCTTGTGCCCATAGCCATCTTCCAAAGAGTCCTCAGGACCCTAATAGGACCCTTAAAGGAAATGTTATGGTAAAATATGAAAAGATGCTTAATCTTGTAACTGATCAGGTAAAAGCAAATCAAATGAACCTTTAGATGCTATTTTCATGCCATCAGATAGAGATAAATTAGAAATATTTTAATATCCAGTGTCTTTGAAAGTATAGACAAAATGGAACTCCAGTTCATTGTTGGTAAGCATGGAAGCTAGCAGCCTTTTTAAAAATTGACCCAGAAATTTCACCTTATAGAAATAACTATGTAAGTATGCAAGGATATGTGTACAATGGCATTTGTTCCAGAACTGTTTAAAAATTAAAAGCTGAGGGGTGCCTGGGTGTCTCAGTCAGTTAAGTGTCTGCCTTTGGCTCAGGTCATGATCTTGGGGTCCTGGGATCGAGCCTGAGCATCAAGCTGTCTGCTCAGTGAGGAGTCTGCTTCTCTCTCTCTCTCTCCCTCTCCCCCTCTCCCTCTGCCCTTCCTCACCACTTGTTCTCTCATTCTCTCTCACACAAATTAATAAATACTATCTTAAAAAAATTAAAAACTGAAACCAAGTAAATATCCTTCCATAAAAAAAGTTAAATTACAGCAGATTTGCTCCTAATGAGTACGATGAAGCCAATTAAAAACGTGGTTGAATGGTCTATGCTTATGTGGAAGGGTATCCAGGATATAAGGAGTGCAAAAGCAAACTAATAAAACAACAAAAAAGGATATACTCCAGTGAGTGAAGAAAGATCAGCAAGGATCCATATACCACACAGTGGTTATTTTAAAGGAGAGAGAGGTAGAAGGGGGCAGGGACGGTTGAGGTGACCCTCACTCTTCACATGTTTCTTCGTGGTTTGAATTTGAGATGATCTATTAAACATTTATTGCTGTTATAATTTAAAATAAATTCATAAAATAAAAGTAAGGAACAGTCAATGGTAGGCAATTATCTTTCTAAACCGGAGGCCAAGGACAGCGACTTGAGGTCATGCGTGATTCTGTACCAGCGCCTACCACAGAAATACAGACACGGGCTAAAATCTGCTCCACTTAGGGAAGCCAAAAAAACCGCTCCAGGCAGGGCTGCAGCTGGCAGAGCAGGCATCTAATTTCTCCCACCTACCAGTTATTCTAGCCCAAGCTCCTGGTAGCGTTATTTCCTATTCCCCAGCAATTCCTTTGAATCTGAACTTCAGACTGACCTCCTGTTTCTCCCCCTGAAGCTATTTTTTTAATATTTTCTCTTCCTCTCAATTTACATTTTAATGCTTAGTGGGTTCACGACACTGTAAGATTCTCTATAATAGGTGCTGAAATAACGTGCAAAACTTTCGTGAGGTTTTTCCTTGATGAATGCCCCCGGAGGAGTTGTCATTGGCGTGTAGTATATGGATGAAATTAAACTCAGAAAATAATGACAGGGAGGTTAATTTTCTTCCCATTGTATGTATAGTTGATTTCCTTTCATTTAGCTTTGGAAAAAAGGGTAAGGGTTAAAAGGAAGACAGGGAGGAAATCGAATTTGAGGTGATTGGGTACAACAGTAACAGGACGCTAGTACACCCTGGCTGCTTTACTTGAGGTGTCCTTCCTGGTGGGACCCAAGGCCCTTAGAACCTTGTGGCTTCATGTGGTCCCACTGAGCACCAAAAGATGGTTCTGAATGTAGCCAGGAAGAGGACTGTCCAGGCAATTGAGACCATTTGACTGACTCATTGGTTCCCCCTTCAACTCCCGCTTCTTTTCAACAACAGCTCCTTCTCAGCTCCATCTCAAGAGCAGGAAACAGAATGGCTGTGGTGACACGTAAGACAAGACATGTGCTTGAGACATGATTGGTTTTAGGGCAGCCGCAGAACTGGCCGCGTGACGCCTTATGAGTTTGATTGGTGGTTTACAGCCATTGGAAGCTGGATGGCTTGTTCTATCCTCATAGCCAACTAGAACTGTATTATGCTAGGCTTAGGCTAATAGATTAATAGATCACTGTGTAAATGACAACAGGGACTCACTGTCCACTCTCTAAATGTGAAAGAAGTCATGAGCAGACAAATTAGATGAATAAATACTCCCTATATAAGCTCCCTGTCCTAGCAGATTAGTCACTCACAAACTTGAGAATACATAAAAGCCACCTTGGGATCTTGTTAAAAATTGCAGATTTCCAGCTCTGCTCCTGGTAATTCTGATGGAGTAGAGCGGGGATGTATTTTTGACATGTGCCCCAAGTGATTCTTCTGCAGGCAGTCCATGGAGCCCACTCTAATGGAAGAGCCTAGAAGCTACTGGGGTCAGAGAGAGACACCACTCATACGTTCTGGTGTTTTGACATGGAGGGTTAGCTGTAACTTCCAAACATTTTTTTCTACATTTCACATTTATATATTCTTTCATTGCTACCTTACTACATAGGAACTTGAAAGTTATGTGGGGAGGGTCTGGGAGAGTACGGGGTCCTAGGGTGGTGGTGTGGGGGCTCACTTACCAGAGTCTCCACATGGGCATGTGGGGCACTCTTCCGGATTTTGATATTTCCTCTATTCCCCACTCCACTGACCAGCAGGTGATTCTTAGCTTGGAGAGAAACAAGTGTCTCTTAGTGGGGAGTCTCTGGGTATGAGGAAACTTGCTAACATTCTGGGTACCGTGCTTCTTGCACTTTGGGCAACTAGCAAACGTGACTTTTGCTAGTTGGGCGTGTTCCTTCCAGTTGAAGCTAGTGAAAGATGACCTAGTCCCTTCTCCATGAGGCATTGCTCTCCAAAGTCGAGTCTTCCATTCATCTGGGCTGGGGCTAGAAGGTCGGGGCTCTGCCTGTGGCTGTGCAGTTTGTGCGTTTGTTCTGAAAGGGCAAGTGTGACTGGAATCCAAGGCAGGTCCCACTGCCCAGCTGGATGTTGGGGCAAGGATAACGGCTGTGCCTGGCCTGAGGAAGTGTGACCTTTTAAAAATCCACACAAGCTTGTGCACCTGGGAGGCTCAGTTGGCTAGGCATCAGGTTATGATCCTAGGGTCCTGGATTCAAGTCCCACTTCAGGCTCTCTGCTCAGTGGGGAGTCTACTTCTCCCTCTCACTCTTCTTCTGTACTATCTCTCTCTCTCAAATAAATAAATAAAATCTTAAAAAAAAAATCCACACAAGCTCTCTGCTAGTTGTGACCCTGCCAGATGGCACCCCTAAGCTTCTCTCAGTCTTAATGCCCTTTTTGATGTCCCTGAACTGGGTATTAGATTGACAGAAAGAGAAAACAGAATGAAACTTAGGAAGAACTCTGTTTACTGCTGCATCTTCCAAGAGCAGGAAATCTCTGCTTTCCTGATGATATTTAAGCCTCAAGAAGAGCCCACCCATCTGATCTCCTCTAGGCTATGTCCATGTACCCATTGGAAAAACAAATTCCTGAGTGAGTGACACATTATCCCCTTGGGTCTTGTCAATTCTCTCATTTGCCAGTCTCTAGCTTATCAGCTAGACTTGTTTAATGCCTGAGGCCAAGGTACTGCAGTGTCTCTTAATTAACTAGTTGTGCACAGCTAATTACTTACCGAGGTATCTCATCAGTATACAATATATATTGACTCCAAGTCAGCTCAGAGGCATTACAAAATTTCTGTTGGAACCCATGCCTTCTTAAATATCAGCCATCCAAGAGCTCCGAAGGAGGATAAGGGAAAAGCTAGGAGGAAACCCTTTGGAAAAAGGGGTTGCGCTTTTCACTGCAACCCCTCTCCCTGCCATATTTCCTATCCAAAGTGATCTCTCATGAGATTTTGTAGAAGTATTTGCCTTCTCAAAATCTACGCCACTCTCCTGGTGATAAAATAATCCTTAAAAGGCTGCACCTCACCCTTTCTGAGTGGGGTTCATGTCCTGAATACTTTGACTATAGCAAGATGCCCATTGCTCATCCTCACAGGCCATGGAAGCTTCAGAAAACCTTTCTGATTCACTGTTTCGGTTCCTGGCTTTCCGGCCTCTGCCCACCAGCTTCCCCTCTGCAGTGTCCATGGCTTCCCTTGCAAAGCTGGACACGTTCTTCTTAAAGGGAGATTAGCAGGTACTCAGGAGGGTGGTACAGGACATTAGCTACCTAACATCAACGTTCCTAACTGGGGAGTTCTCCAAGGTAGATGATTTATTGTGCTTTCACTGTAGGGCTAGGCAGGGTGTATCGTATGGAACCCAATTCAGTGTTCACACGCTATCAGCTAAGGACCAGCCTCGATTTTTCAGTTGAAAAACTTGAGGGGATTGGAAATAATTTGTCTAAAGTCCCACATCTTTTTTATTTTATTTTAATTTTAACTTTAAAAAAAAAAAGATTTTATTTATTTATTTGACAGAGAGAGAGCACAAGTTGGCAGAGCAGCTGGGAGAGAGGGGGAAGCAGGCTCTCCACTGAGCAGGGAGCTCCATCCCAGGACCTTGGGATCATGACCTGAGCCTATGGCAGATCCTTAACTGACTGAGCCACTCAGGGGCCCCAAACGTCACACATCTTATTAAGACA